ACTTACCAAAGAGGGTTTTTTTTGTTTTTTACCATAAAAAATACTATTTTTACAATATTTGTTAATTTTAAATTATGTAAAACTGCAAGTTATAGAATTATTAGTCTAAAGCTTTCGCATTTTAAGACTAAGTCACATAAAATAAATATAACAAATACATAATAATAATTAATTAGATGTTTATTTATTAGTCAATACAATTTTTCCTTTTTGCTTTTTACTGATTAATTATTAGTCTATAGAATTATTAGTCTAAAGCTTTCACATTTTAAGACTAAGTAACATAAAATAAATATAAAAAATACAAAATAATAATCAATTACATGTTTATTTATTAGTCAATACAGATTTTCCGTTTTTGCTTTTTGCTAATTAATGACACATTTAATCTGAAAAATGTAAGATAATTTCCCTATGCTCCAAAAATATTACTTTTATCATATTCCTTTAGAACATCGCTTTTATTCTCTCAATTAATTAGATAACTGCTTCAAAAATTATGGGATCATTTCCCCTTATTTCATAAATATTACTTTCGTAATATTTATTCCGGTGTCAATTTTGTCCTTTTATTTTTGTATCTTGCAGTGCTGCTGTATCTCCTGTCTTCAGCCGCCTATATCCCAAGAAATATTACTAATTCACTACAGCATGTATACCTTCAAGGAAATTCTGCACCCATCTGATGAATGCAAATCAAAGCATAATTCCCCTCTATTTTTTAAAAAACCTCGCTTCTGTAACAAAACCAATCCCTTGTCGATTTACTGAATAAAATCAATTGTACCGGTTTTGATATAAAAAATAGGGTAAAAAATAAAAAAGTCCCCTGTGATTAACCTAATACACAGAAAAGTCTTCCATGGTTTCAATATATACAACATGACCTCTCATGCTTTGAACTAAATTGTAAAGGTGACGGAATCCGTTAAACTTAACGAAAATGGATGAAATAACCAAAATGCATTGATATAATTAAGCAAAAGACAGTTCAAAAAAATCATTTGTTTATTCTCTAAGTAGAGAGAATTGAGGGTTAAAGGGTACAATAGGTATATTTGATAAAAATTAGGCATAAAAATTTTTTTTTAGGTTCCAATAAGTCATTTCCGTTAAATTTAATGGATTTCGTCACCTTTATAATTTAGTTCAAAGTATGAGGTGTCGTATTGTATATTTTGAAACTATATGGGGCTTTTCTGTGTATTAGACTTACCAAAGAGGGTTTTTTTTGTTTTTTACCATAAAAAATACTATTTTTACAATATTTGTTAATTTTAAATTATGTAAAACTGCAAGTTATAGAATTATTAGTCTAAAGCTTTCGCATTTTAAGACTAAGTCACATAAAATAAATATAACAAATACATAATAATAATTAATTAGATGTTTATTTATTAGTCAATACAATTTTTCCTTTTTGCTTTTTACTGATTAATTATTAGTCTATAGAATTATTAGTCTAAAGCTTTCACATTTTAAGACTAAGTAACATAAAATAAATATAAAAAATACAAAATAATAATCAATTACATGTTTATTTATTAGTCAATACAGATTTTCCGTTTTTGCTTTTTGCTAATTAATGACACATTTAATCTGAAAAATGTAAGATAATTTCCCTATGCTCCAAAAATATTACTTTTATCATATTCCTTTAGAACATCGCTTTTATTCTCTCAATTAATTAGATAACTGCTTCAAAAATTATGGGATCATTTCCCCTTATTTCATAAATATTACTTTCGTAATATTTATTGATCAATAAATTATTATTGTGGTATATATTTTTTCTATAAAATTATCCGTTTACAATTATCTCTTTTTGTTCATTATCTCCTATCCATTGTCTAATCAATATTGAGTGTGCCCATGTCGTTTTCTATATTAAGCCTGCTTTATAGCCACGTGCTATTCATCCAATTGCATTGATAGTACTTTTCTTTATCCTTTTCACATCAATTGGTTTTCACTGTCTAATCTACATTAAATGCATCTGCTTACTTTTTTGGTACTTACACTTTCCTACCACTGTTCATTCTATTACTTACTTTTATTGCTTCCAGTCTGCTATCCATCGGATTTCTACTAATGCTAATTTCCCACTTTTATTTGACCTCTTATTTCCTTTGCTTTCATCACAATGTACTTCCCAACTGAGTTTCTCGCCTTTTATTCTACCGTATCTTTCTCTCATTCTTATTTTCTCCTGCTTTACTGCATCTTCGTTCTTCCAACTTCTACCTGGTAAGTTAGCCTCTAATGCTTTGTTTTGTTTCTCTCAACTTTTGTTCCTGTTTCATGTTTACTTTACTTTTATGTCCATGGTTTATATATCTCTTCCACCAGTCTTCCCCTTCCATTAATAACAACTTTGCCCTTTGTTGTTGTCCGCTGTTGATCAGTCATGCATTTATGTCATTATATATTATTGCTTCTGCTATTTATGATGATGCATTTAATCTCTCATGCATGTCTTTTTCTTCCAACAGATTGCTTGCTCCTTTGGTTACGCCTTTTTTTAGCAACCTTGTCCATGCTGCATTATACTGTTCTCATTCCCATGTTATGTACGTTTCATTTTCATTCCATGCATGCTTTTATCTTTTGCTGTATCTGATTTTACTGTCAATTCTTTTTGCTGATTTTGATTGTTTCTCCTTTTTATTTTGATTTATTACAAACCTTTGTATATTTTGATTCCAGGCTCTTCTGTCTTTTCCTCCTTGTTCCATTTCTTTCTGGCTCTTTCCTATCAGGTAAAATGTTATCCATATTCTTTTATATTGCACTTACTATCTTATCTAATCTTCATATTCTCCTGGCTCATATAAAATTCCTATACTTTTATTGCGATGCTATCCTTTATATTTGTTCCTAGCTTTATAACAATTGTGATTCCTACGCTCTGCCATTTTCCCCCCAGCATCGACTCATTAATTAGCTATCCTATATAATGATAGACACCCTTAATTATACTGTATCTTCCTTTATGTTCCTTACTTTTATTTAGTATGCCTCGAAAGCGTAAACTTTGCTCCCAAGATGAATATCGCATGCAAAATAATCAGCGACGCCGAGACAGATATGCTGCCAAGATAGTCAACCGCCAGCAGCATGGTGGCCAGATAGACAGCAAAAAAACAAGCTCTACTTCACTTCAACAAACACACAACCTTAATGTTGCAGATGTTCTTCCTGTTGCCAATCCTTTAGAACATGAACGCCATTTAGCTGATGTCCCTATTTATACTGCTACATCGACAGCTTCCAGTTCTTCGCCTTATCAATCTCCATATGGTCTTTTCCCATCTTCATCTTTTGTTCCAAGTGCCTCCTCGTGCTTTCCTTTCTCTACTATGCCACTTCCCCATATAGTGGATAGCTTATCTACATCGGCTATATCTGAGATTGATCCATGTACCTTCTCGCTTCTTAGTCCTTCCATTTATTTTTTCTCCTCCTTTATTATTCATTTCAACAGTACCTATAATTTAAATTTCTCCATTCCTATGTATATGCATATAGACCATCTTCCTGCAATGAATGATCATGTCGTGCAAGACCTTTTCACTTCATCGTTGCCTAATGCTACCATTCAGTGGTTCAATTGTCCCATTGATACCTGTACGTTCTCTATCTCTTTCAATAATCTCAAAAAACACTAAATGTTGTATCATTATAATAGATATCGATACTGCATTCTGGTTTTCTATCAATATTATAGCTGAAATTATAATGACGGATTTTCAGCACAGTCAACGGTAATGACAGAACCATTGATTTCATCCTCCTCCATCCAAAATCAAAGTGGTGCGCCAACAGCTATTAATAATATTTCCATTGCTTTATCTCTTTATATATAACAAACAGTTTGTCCATGTTCCAATTATAACTCATACAAATTCCTATTTAATGCTTCTAGCCCCGACACGTCTCAAAAAAAATATACCATTGCTCCAACAAATACCATTACAGCCAACCATCCTACCATCTGTTCCAGATTGTCCACATTGTCATGCTAAGCGTTTTTATATGGGACCACCAAGATTTTGTTGTGCATCCTGAGAGATTCGTCTAGCAGAAACAAAAATGACAGATACGTTGCTGCAACTTTATAGAGGAAACACTCCTGAAGCTGTTGAATTTATGCAGTGTATCAGAAGTTACTACAATATGTTTGCCTTCACATCATTGGGAGTCCACTATGACAGGGAGCTGAGCAAAAGAAATAACGGCATTTATACTTTTCAAGTTCAAGGACAAATCTATCATTTTGTCGATCCACTGAAACCTTCTGATGGTGAAAAAGCATCAAATCTGCAGCTCTATTTTTATGATACGGAGCATGAAGTACAAAATAGAATGGCTCTATCAAGCAAATTTAGGGAGTCAATTGTTCAGCAGCTAAAATCTATTCTTGATCACAATCCTTATTCTGTCTTTATTAGAAGATTAGCAGAGATTAAAGACCTGGATAAATACAGGATTTTCCTCAAATCTAATCCTGGATTGGATCAACGTGTGTTCAATATTCCTTTAGTATCTCAAGTTGCAGCAGTTTGGTTGGATAGTGACAGTGTTAATGGAGACAGCTCAAGAGAGATTGAAATATGTACAAAAACAGGAAGTAGAAAAATAGTCAAACAACATTATGGTTGTTATGACACATTACAATATCCATTGATATTTCCTTCTGGAGACTGGATGGCATCCTGAAATTCTTAGAAAGACCAAAACTTAGATTCTTCAGCAGCCTGATCAAACTTGTGAGAAAGAAAATTTGCTTTCTATTGATCAATGCACTGATATAGAACAACTATTTATTGCAAAACAAACAGGTATACTTATATCTACAAACATTCACATTTTTTCCTTCTTATTTACTATAATATATAATACCTCATTATTACATTTTCCTTATGTTAACAGCTGCTAAAAAGAAAAAAGGACAGAGACCAACTATTTCATGCAGAGAATATTATGCTTACAAATTTCAAATGCGAAATGGAGATCAATCAAACTTGCTGCATATCGGCCGTCTATTGCAACAGTATTCTGTTGATACCTATGTGAAGTTAGAGACATCGCGGCTTGAATTTCACAGAGGCAAACAAAACAAATTGAGGACAGAGGCTTATCAAGGATTACTTGATGTCATAGCAAAAGGATTCACAAATGCATCAAATGTTGGAAAACACATCATTCTGCCTGCAAGTTTTATAGGAGGACCAAGAGATATGCGACGCCGATATATGGATGCAATGACCCTTGTGCAACGTTATGGAAAGCCAGATATTTTCCTCACAATGACCTGCAATCCATCTTGGCCTGAGATTAAGAACCATCTGCTTGAAACAGATGAGTGTCAAAACCGACCTGATTTGATTACACGGGTATTTCGTGCAAAAATTGAACAATTGAAAGAAGATCTTTTCAAGAAACATCTTTTCGGTCATGTTGCTGCTTATACTTATGTCATTGAATTTCAAAAAAGAGGTTTGCCCCACACTCACTTCCTCATCATTCTAAAGGAACAATCAAAGATGTTCTCACCAAAAGAATATGACAACATTGTTTGTGCAGAGCTTCCTGATAGACATCAATCGCCATATCTATATTCTGTGGTTATAAAGCACATGCTTCATAGCCCTTGTGGATCAATGAATCCGAGTAATCCGTGCATGTGGCAAAATCACAAGTGCAGAAATAACTATCCAAAGGATTTCTCAAAATATACAAAGCATGGAAAAAATTTCTATCCTATATACAAGAGACAAGATGATGGCAGCAAAGTCTATATCAGACAACATGAGCTAGATAACCGATGGATTGTCCCTTACAATCCATATATTCTTGCAAAATACGATTGTCACATTAATGTTGAAATATGTTCTGCTATTGAAGCTGTAAAGTACATCTATAAATATATATACAAGGGTCATGACAGAGTGATGTATCAATTGACAGCAGAACAAGCAGATAAGATTATTTATGAGATAAAAAATTTCCAGTCTGCAAGGTGGGTATGTGCTCCTGAAGCTATGTGGAGAATTTATGCTTTTGATCTCAATCTTATCAGTTCATCAGTTATTTTGCTTCATCTACACCTTGAGAACTACCAATCGATGTCATTAGATAAGAATCGGCCTCTAACAGATGTCATTCAAGATGACAGACTTTCATGAACAATGTTGACGGAATTCTTTTCAATGAATCAAACAAATAAAGATGCAGAAAATCTTAATCCTCTGTACAAGGAATTTCCTCAACATTTTGTCTGGGATGAAGGTGATAGAATATGGTATACTAGAAAACGATGGCAGGTCATCGGTCGTCTAATAACAGCACATCCAATTGAAGGAGAAAGATATTATCTCAGAATACTGCTCATGCATGTTCGAGCACCAACATCCTTTGATGATCTAAAAATAGTTAATGGTTATCTAGCATCTTCATTTAAAGAAGCAGCAGAATTACGAGGATTGCTTCATATAGATAATGGAGCTGAAGAATGCTTATCAGAAGCTATTCTCTACAAAATGCCACAATGTCTAAGACAGCTATTTGCAGTGATCTTAGTCCACTGCTCACCAGCTGATCCACATAAACTATGGTCGAAGTTTCCGCAGCAGACTCATCATTATCAGAAACTGAAATTATCACAAAGGTCCTTGCTTCGATTGATCACTATTTGCAAATAATGGGAAAAAGCATAAAGACCTATAGCTTCTCAGATTTTATTCCCAGTGTTCAATTCATCAATCCTGCTAAAGAAATACAAGTTGAGCTTGCAATACCTGTCTCCACAGAAGATTTAGCAGCAGTTTCTATGTTGAATCCTGGACAGCAATCTGCATTTGACAAAATAATGCAAAAAGTCAATACAAATACATCAGCTGCATTCTTCATTGATGGTCCTGGTGGCACAGGAAAATCTTTCCTTTATAAAGCACTCCTCGCAACAATTAGATTAAAAGGTGACATTGCATTAGCAACTGCAACATCAGGAGTAGCTGCATCAATACTTCCAGGAGGTCGTACTGCTCACTCGTGCTTCAAGATTCCACTCCATCATGAAGCTAACATCACATGCAATCTTTCTAAACAAAGTGCCATATCTCAGCTAATCAAGACTACAAAACTCATAATATGGGATGAAGCAGCAATAGCCAAAAAATATGCAATTGAATCGTTTGACAGATTACTCAGAGACTTGTTGAATTGTGATCAGATCTTTGGTGGAAAAATCATTGTCTTTGGCGGAGATTTCAGACAAACTCTACCAGTTGTAAGGAAAGGTCAAAAGGAAAATTACATTTCTGCATCACTTATTAATTCATATGTCTGGCCTCAACTTGAAAAAATCCACCTAACTGAGAATATGAGAGCATCTTTGGATCCATCATTTTCAGATTTTCTTCTAAACATTGGAAATGGCACACAGCCAACCATTGTAGATGACAAAATAAAGTTGCCTTCTCATATGATCATTCCTTTTATTGATGATCAGCCATCCTTAGACACCCTCATCAATGTTGTTTATCCATCCTTGTCCAGCTTTCTACCTAGTAATTCTACAGTTATTAATAAAGTCATTCTCAGCACAACAAATGATATTGTACATGAAGTCAATCAAATGTTGATCCAGAAGTTCCCTGGAGAAGAAGTCAAGTACATCAGTTTTGATCAAACCATAGATCCAAGCAAGCAAGCCGATCATGGTGACTTCTTAAATACTATTCACCCTCCAAGATTACCCCCACATGAACTGATATTGAAGCAAAATTGCCCAGTTATACTCCTAAGAAATCTCAATCCTGCAAAAGGATTATGCAATGGAACACGTTTGATTTGTTTGAATTTCAACAAAAATGTTATTCATGCTGAAATTTCTGTTGGAATTCATTCTGGTAAACAAGTTTTCATTCCCCGCATTCCATTACATAGCTCCAATGATGAATCATACCCAATACCCTTCAAACGTACTCAATTTCCAATTTCATTGTGTTTTGCCATGACAATTAACAAATCACAGGGACAAACACTTGATTTTGTAGGATTATATTTGAAAGAACCAGTATTTTCACATGGTCAATTGTATATTGCACTATCAAGAGCTAAAACTGGTGATAATGTTAAAATTCTGCTTAGACCTATTTCTTCTGATTCTCTATCGAATGATTGCACACGCAATGTAGTTTATCAGGAAATTTTGACAACTGCAGCTCATGATTAAGTATTCAACTTACATGTGTTTAATTCCAGATGCCTATATTTATTACTCTATATATTTACATATCTCTATGGCTAATAATATATTCTTCATATTTCATGTTACAGATATGGAAGACAAGTGCACTACTATCAGCAACCTGACAGACAAATCAAATGACTGGATCATAAAAGTCATCCTCATTGAAAAAACAAACATCTTCAGAGGAAAAGACCAAAATACATTCCAGCGTTTCATGTTTGCAGATGAACAGGTGAATTCCATATTACAAATTCCTTCCATCAAAAACATATCAACCATAAAACTAAATATTTTCATTACTCTTTACTATAATAATTATCCATGAAATTAACAAACACTTTCAATTATATCACTATACCATTCCCCATTCATCTATTATCGATTTTTAACTTCATTTATCATGAACTTATTAATCAATTGATCACTGCTTTCTTTCCAGAATGAATCAATCCAGGCAATTGCTTTCACCAGAGATGTGAACTATGCAGATAGCAAACTTGATCTTTACCGTACTTATTACATTGGCAATGCTGCTTTTTCAGCCATCACTGATCAAAGAAACCAAACTGGATCTGTACCATGGCAACTAACCATCAGCAAAACAACTTTCATCAAGCAAGCACAGAAACAAAATGAGCTGAACCTGCACAATCGGTTCCCATTAACTTCCTTCTGGGATCTTGACAAATATAAAAACAATGATTCCATCAGATTCAGTAAACCTACATTTACTATTATCATTCATTCAATACAAGCATATATACCTTAACTTTTTTCATAGTTACACTCTCTATTTATCAAATCATTTTATCTCTGCAGATCTTCTTTGTGCTCTAATTCAAGGATTTCCAGAATCCATTATACCAACAGCAAAAGGACCACGCATAATTCGCAGATTCGTTGCTGTTAATGCTGAGTAAATTTTCAACTTTTTATCTTCTTCAACATGCTTCCACATAGACCATATCTTCATTCAACCACTTATCCATATACCAAATTCTCCGTTTTTGACATGACTAATTATCCATACAATAAATTATCTCTCTTGCACATTGATATCTATATATTTCAGATGTAGACCCATGATCTTCACCATGTGGGATGTAGACACCAAATTTTTGTCAATTTTTAATGTTTTCCTGAATTTTTATCTATTTAATAAGTTATCTATTATTATTATTATTATTAATGTGTAATTTTCTCATTTTTGCAGGTTTATTTTAGAAAAAAAACAACAAAACGAAAACAAACAAACAAAAAAAGAGAAATTTTAAAAAACAAAAAAAAATCAAAAAATCAAAAATCAAATCAAAATCAAATTATTACAAAACTTACACATTTTCATCATTTTCCCTACCAAAAAACACTTAACCCATTCCTACACTCAACTTCCTTGATCTTTCTTGTCATCTAGTAAAAATAATCATTTTTGACCAAACAAACACACAAAGCTCTACGGCTACAAATTCACTGTTCACTCGGCTCTCTCTCACAGAGAAGACAAGCCACAAAAAAAAAAAAAAAGCACTCCAATCCCTCTGGGCTCACTTGGCATAGGCAGAAAAAAAACAAGAGGAGGAAACGCACGAGAGAAGAGGAAGGGAAGCTCTCGGAATTTTGCAGCCTGACCCCTCACTCTCCCTCTCTCGGACTTGGGCGGAGGAAAGAAACAGAGAAGAAAAAAAAAATCTTCCCCAACTCCTCTCAGTTCCATCTCAACCTCACACACACCTACATTGAGATAATTTTTAGTTTTTGTCTAGCACATTAAATCAATGCTTCATTGTTTAGTTTTCTTTCGTTCTGTTGGCTGCCTTGTATTGTTGTTGTTGCATTGCTGAAAATTGGGAAATGGCATGAACTAGATGAAGGAAAAGGAAATGTTTCTCATGCATGCATATTAACCGTTTGAAAAAATGCCAAAATGACAGACGAATTAAAAAGCTTAACATTGTACATGTTTTCTTGTCAAATAGGTGGTCGTTTGCTAGTGTAGGTCTGAAAAGGTGTGGTTATTCAAAAAATTTTGGAGTTTTGAGTGTTAAAAGTTTTGAAGGATTTTTATTATTTTTTGGACTGTTTTGGTTTAATTTTTGTCGTATCTGTTGTTACTTTCATTGATGTTAGTTGATAGTTAGGTTGTAAAAATCACAAGGAGTGTTGTAGTATAAATTTTATATTTTTTGGTGAAGATTTGGGTGTTTTAAAGAAATAAAAACTGGAATGTATTTTGATATTTTGGCCACTTTCGGATCGTCTTTTGTAAAAACTAAATCCGGAAATGGAATCTACGCGAAAATTGGAGTGGGGAGATGTATTTTGAGAAATTTTGGCTACCGGAGAGGTTGCCGGCGACCGGCAGTCCGGCGGTGGTGCCGCCGGCGGCCGCCATGGCCGAAGCTTCAGCTGGCCAAAGAAGAAGGAAGGAAACGGCTGGAAGTGGAGGAAGAAGAAAGAAAGAAAAGAAAAGAAGAAAAAAAAAGAAAAGAAAAGTGGGTTGGGCTAATTTTTTTAGTGGGCTTGTTTCTTAATTTCGGTTGGGTTAGAAGGTCAGACTCATGCTTCTTTTTTTTGGTTGGGCTTGAGGGGTAAAAAGACGGGTTGGCCTGCTCGTTTCTTTTGGGTTTCGGTTGGGCTTAGTAGTATCCGGCCCAAATAAATAAAAATGACGGTCGATGGCCTTTTTTCTCCCAAATTAGAAACCGAAATTTGCATTTTAGCCCCTGATCTTTGGAGTAGTTTCACTGCGGCCCAGACCATTTTAAATTTCTTGCATGTAAGTCCTTAAATTAATTGCACTTTGGTCCTTAAATTTTATCTTTCGTTTACTTTTGACCCCTGAACTTTGGAAAAATATAATTTTTGTCCCCAAAAGTTTTTCAATCTTTGCAATTAAGTCCTTGGCAAATTTTGGCTCTCTTTATTATGATTGTTCCTTTTTTTTAATAACTAATTATATTACTTTTGAACATATTCAACTTGTCATTTTTAGATGTTTTAAAATTCTTTATATTTGACATATTAGTGTGTATTTAGTACTTTTATTATTATTATTTTTTTTAATTGGTGCCATGATTCTTTTGTTCATTGTGAGTATAAATAGGACAATTTGACTCCGCCCTCAGGGGCTTGGTCTGGTGGTTGAGATTGCTGAAGATGGAGCCTCAGGTCCCTAGTTCGAACCTTGCTGCCAGCAAGTTGCTGAGGGTGGTGAATAGTCTGTGGGGTCCACTCCCTGCGGGACACACCTAAAAAAAAAAAAAAAAAGGACAATTTGACTCCATTTAGTCACCACTTCAAACGGGAGGTACTCATATTTTTATTATTTCAATGTCAATTACATGCTTTTATATGCTCCTATGTATTTGTATATTTTTATATGCTTTATTTATTGAATTTAAATGTTCATTTAAATTTTCTTATGTTATATTTGTTTAGTTAATTTTTATAATTATTTGAGAGGCATTTAAATATCTCAAAAAATGTAATAGATAGGATAATTATGTTTGTTTCATTATATTTTTCCCTTTTAGATTGTAGTTGGGCTCCCCGATATAATAGATAGGTTGTGTGTTTATGTGGCTTACGTGCTATATGTTTATCCGCATTTCTTAGGATTTTGGCATCTAGATATTATGTTTATGTGTTATGTGCTACGTGCTCTTATGTGTTTATTTGTTTTAATTTATGCCTTATTTGTTTCACCATGAATTGTTAATGCATGACGTCATCACACTTGTCCAACGCTAGTTATGGCTTCTCCCTTCGCTTACTTGCTAGTCCAACGCTAGTAAGGATTTTTAGAAATGGGCTAATCCAACGCTAGACCCTTTAGGTCGTCTTGCGCTAGATTCATCTTTGTGTGATATTCACTACATTTTCGTGCATATTTTCATTCTTAGGATCTTTTCTCATTTTCATGATATTCCTTATTATATTATCCCCTACCCTCTATAGGTGCTAATCATGTCATTTAGAATTGCATCTCATTTAAGCTAGTTCATTTGCTTGTTCATGTTAGGATAATTATTTTTCAAACATGGGAAATGGGTGATTATAACTTTTTAGTTTAAATATCCCATTAATCCCTATATAAGAAAATTATGTCACGAGTTTTGCCTCCCGTACCCTTTATGTTGCATTCCCTTTTTCTTTGATCACTTATATCTATGTATATAATTTAATTTCTTTTCTTTACTTTTTAATTTCATCATTTGCATACTCGTGACACCTTCAAGGAATTATTTTGGCATTCGCAATTAATGCGATTAGTTCAATTAAACCCTTGAATGAACATTTTGTCCCTTTCGATATTTTTATAAATTTAGATTTGTATCCATATAGGAAACATCCAAATATGATAAAATTAAGGGTTAGATTAGAAAAATTTTGACTAAATCTCACAACTAGCTTAGACTAGGTTGAAAGGGTGCCTTACGTCTGAGTCAATTGAACATTTGCCTTCCCTTTCTTCAACCGTGACTCTCGAACCCATTTTCTCTTGTTTTCAAAGACTTGGAGTTGTCAAAAAGGGTTTTGATTTATTTTATTTTTTGTTAAAAAATATTTTTTTGGGTGACTTGGTACACCAAAACTCCATACCAAGTAGCGACTTCTATTTTTTCTAAAAAGCCCTTTTAGACTAAATTTTTGGACCCAAATTGTCGCATTTTTAAAGTCCCATTTTAGGTCCATTTTAACTTGTTTTAAAATAAAATCACATCTTTTATAAATTTCGCACTTTATTTTTATTTTCATCGCGAAAAAATGGGACGCGACAACTTGGTGACTCCACTGGGGAAGCTAGAGAGTCCAAACACTTGGTTTAGTTGTCTTTTCTCTTCCTAACCCTTTTATTTATCATATTTGGATGTTTTAGGTTGTATTTTTCTTTTTTAGGATATTTTGCATTTCACACACGCGACCGTCTCTTGATATCCGTGTATGCGATGATTTGTTTATTTACTTTCATTTATTTATGT